TTTGATTATCTAGTTTAAAAAAAAATGGAAAGCACTTTTTTTAAAACAAGATAATCAAAGGGTTATAGTCATAGCACACATGATTACAATCAAATAAACTGAATCAGATGAAAAGCATCATAGGTATGTAGCCATAGCGCACTTTTTAGCGTTCACTGGCTGTTAACTCCAGTGAAGAGTTCTGGTTGTTCATTCCACTTCTGGATTTTAGTGTTGTTTCAGAACTTGGATTTGACGGGGACATCTGTTTTACAGATCTGCTTATGTATATAAACACTGCAGGTTCCTTGCTTCTCAGGCAGATGTGCTCTGACTTAGGAAGAAACATCCCTAATCAGATTAACTTTTACAGCATGTTTTATAAGAAGGCAGCGGGTCTGTTCTCTTCCCCTACTCCCTAAATGGGACCCCAGAACCCACACGGGGAATAGCACACTTGATTACAGTCAAACCAAGTTTTAAGAAAAGCATCACTGGATCTATTAATAATGATACAATTCATAATGACAATACAATTCATAAAGAACCAGCACAAAACGTACAAAAAATATTCAGTGTCCCCCAGACAAAAGGCTTACCAGATTTCATAGTGAACAAATTGTAACTGAATACAGTAGCAACACAGGCAATAATGGGCACACACAACACAGGCAATGGTGGGCACACACAAAATGATGTACAAATCTATACCTGAGGCTAAGAAAACAATTATTTGCATGGAGTGTCAAAATTATTGCAAAGAAAGACTTGAAATGTATGTATAAAACTATGTACAATAGAAGTCTGTCCCTTACAGTATCATACTCAGTCTTTTTGGGTCTAATGTACAACAGAAGTCTGTGCTCTATAGTATCAGACTCGCAGTCTTTTGGGCTTAACTGTCTCCCATCACCAATAATGACCACCATTAATTAAGGTGGAATATAAAGGAAATTCACTGTAAAGTCAATGCAAATGGTGGTGAGAATGTGTGGTTTCATGTCGTTTACCATTGTATAAATTCATGGTTTAGTATTTAAATATAATGGAAATTCAGTACACTGCCTTACTGGCAACTGGGTCGGGCTCACTAGTAGAATTTTCAGTCAGGACACTGCCTTGACTCAACAATGCATTAGTTCTAAAATAAATGGTTAACTAACTAATGTTAACTGGTGGAAATTCATGCTTTAATAATTCGCAATTGAGGAAATTCAGCATTTTGCCATTAGGGCAGACATTCTATTTACTAGGCTAGAAATTCCTTATCTAGTATTCTGCTAATAGAAATTCCTGATTTATTCTATTTACTGTCGTGAAATACCCTAATTTAGCATGTTAAAATTTCTAATTTAATATGCTAATTATAGTGGGAACTTATGGTTTAGTATATGAGTTAATTATGGTGAAAATTCCCGATTTACTATTTTGTTAACCGACAAAAATCCATAGTATAATATTCCGCTAACTGAAGTGGGAGTTCTAGGTTGAGTATGCTGCCAATGATGGTACAAATTCATACATAAGTATGCTATCAACTACAGCGGAAATTCCTGAGTTAGTATACTAAACTAAATATAAAGTGTGAGATTAGTTAGTTAGTTAGTTGAGGTTTCAACGTCACCGCAGTCGGGTTTCTCCATACTTGCTTTATTCCTGATATGGTGCGAATCAAATGAAATGTCCCTCACTGTTGCATATGAAAAACTGGTGAATAAACAACTAGTTCCAGAAAAATCCAGAAATATGTGCATGCAGTCAATGCGTATTTCAGTTGCTCGAGGCGGCAAAGCTAACAATGTTGTGAGGGACTTGACAAAAGAAGTACTCTGAAAACTGCTATACTTGCAGTTTATCTTTAATGAGCACATGGTTATTACTGTCATAAATCATTTTTGCTTCTATTTTAGCTTCGTATTACATAGCTTATTATTTGCCAATTTTGCCATTAGCTCTATGGTTTGGTAAAATACTGTTGTATTAAGTGTATGTATGTGTGTGTGTTTGTATTTATGTTTTATTCAACGGATCAACATCATGGCACACGGGTGTAACCCATAAGTGCTCCATTCTACTAACTCAAGCCTGAGTATGAAAAATCTCAGTGCAGAGCACAAACTCTGTTGCACTGGCTAGGATCCTGAAATACTTTGGATTTTTAACTCAAAATTTTGCCCAGGCTACTCTTTTTCGATTTCCAACTGCCAAGGGCAACACTACACACGGGACCTCCAGCACTCGAGGCAGATGCCATACCCTGGGACCACTCAGTGTGCATTTGTGTTTGAATGTGAATGTGGGAGTAAATTAATGCTTATGTCAACATAGCATGTAATTATGCCTGAATTATGAAACAAGTGGGAAATCAGATACAGCAAGCAACATAATCGCTCCAGGAGTACAATTATCAGAATTCACAGTACTTCTTAATTATTACAGACAAATTATTTCAATATATCATAGATCATGGAAAACAACTGCTTATTTAACGGCTTACATAACTGTCAAATGTGAAACAGATTAAATCTGAACCTCATGTGCATAATGAACTGTTAACCTGTAGGATAGCCAAGAAAATATTATGATTAAGTCTCATTTAAAAAAAAATGTTTAGAACAGATAAATGAATAAAACACATCTGCATATAAATATTTATTTAAAAAAAAAACACATTAAGTTACTGTATATAAAGTTCATACAAAGGTGACAGTTGGATTCTCTTGATGTGGTCATACTTTTATATAGTTTTGTCTGTACACATCTTCTGTCTGCAGGTGACTGTCTGCAGTATTGTTAACTCCATTATTATTACAAAATTGTAAGTCATAGTATGCTGCTGGGTGGACAACCTGCCACAATCTGAACTTTCTTCACATTTAGTATGGGAGAAAACAATAGAAAAGCAACAATATGAAAACATACATTTTTGCAAATGGTCAAAATGTTCACTTGTTCTGACCTTGGTATTGCATAATTGTTACTACTTTCATCATATTCAGTTTTTGTTTTATGAGTAGCGAATAAAAGTTTGTGTAATATGTGATGAGGTTAAAAAAAAAAGTACATTTTAAACAAAGTTTTTTTCCTTCTAGAATACATATTAAATGTTTTTAAAAGCTGGTAAAATTTTCAATACAAGCAGCATGACTGTGTTGGGTAGAAAAAATTATTTCATTTAAAAAACAAATTGTGTCTGGTGGCCATCCCCAGACAATTATTACAAAATCTAAGAACCAGATTAATCCCTGATTTTAACTTCTTGTCCTTTATCAATATTTTGTCATTTTATGTCACTGACTGTCGGCTCTGTGGCTAAGTCGATGCGAACGCTTCATAATGCCGGGATGCCGGGTTCGATCCCAGCTGCGGGCCATGCGCCTTGCGTTGGTTTCGACAGTGCTATCAAGAAAGCCAGCCGTCCAGAAAGCAATGGCAAACGACTTGACGTAAATTTGCCTAGAGAATTTGCAACGTCCTGTTAAGGATTTACAACTAAAAAAAAAAAAATGTCACTGACTAAAGTAACATCAGTGCAATAACTTTTTCATATTTATCTTAAATTGACTATTTTTAATTGAAAGCAATTTTTAAAAAATGTGTTTTTAATTATTTGCAACAATTTTTTTTAACATGTTTATCTAGAACAGACTATTCTAAATTCATCACAATCATGTCTTTAACATCTACCAGAATAGACTGCTCTTAATTCAGTACAATCATGTCTTTAACATCTACCAGAATAGACTGCTCTTAATTCAGTACAATCAATTTTTTAAACATTTTCCAGAGAATGACTTCTAGATTTAGTGCAGTCATTTATTTAACACCTGCCCCCCCCCCCCCCCCCCCCCCCCCCCCCAATATTCTAGATTCGCTACAATCAATTTTTTAACATCTACAGATAATAGCTAACAAAATTAAAAAAAAAAAAAAAAAAACTAATTAATCAAGTTTCAGCTGGCATAAAATGGAGTACACATATTCATTAATGCGTAGAAATATAAGGCAAGATTAAAAAAAAAAATTTTTTTTAATAAATTAAGAAACATTCACTTTATTAATATGATAATACAGTTCATGTAAACTTTGATTATAATAATTTAAACAATCATATAAAAACAACTACAGCAAGTGGAAGCAAATTATGTAATAAAACCAGATTACAGAGTCATATCAACTTTAATTATAATAACAACAACAAAATATGTCAAATGCTTTTATTATGTAAAACAGGGGGAAAAGATAATTACAAATACTAGCACACCTACTCACATTTTACAAACGTGCATAAATATTAAAAACAAAGATAGGTTTTTACTGAGGATTCAGTCATGCTGCTCTGTTGTTTCTGATCAAGCATTCTAATTCATTAAGTTTGCTGTGTATGATCTCCTCTCACTTATTTATTCATGAAAGACTGTTTAGAAACACATTTTTATAAATCAGTGAATTATTTTTCCCCACTCTGTGACCTTATGGATTTACCATTTTCAAATAAAGTAATTCCAAATTTAAAAAAAAAAAGAGAAAAAAAGAAGGAGGAATACAAATCACACTTCAGAAAAGTGAGGCAGACTTTATACAAATAAAATAAATCCCAGACAGATAAAAGCAGGTCACCATGTATGTATAGGTCCAATTATTGGTACATCAGGCACATAATGCTAGATTCCTATTTTTAAGGACCGTTTAAAACCCAGTTGGAGGTGTGGTCAACAACTTTGACTTCCCATGGTATTTACTGAAAGCCATTTAGGATAAATGGACCTGGGTCAAAATACAAATCTGCCTCCATGCGGATTTGAACCCAAGACCTTCAGGCCACTGTGCTACCTCAGTTCCCCACCATATCTGTACAATATTATTAAAACATAATCAAATATACAAGCAGTAATTCTTTATTATCAAAACATAAATCAGTATGAATACAACTAAGGATTCCCTACCTACAGACAATAAAAGCGTATAGGTACTAAAATTAGATTATTTTGTATCGGAACAGACACTAAATATCACTAATTTTAGCTGCGGCCACACTCAGGACACACAATGTCTTCTCCGTTCATGAGAAAGCCCCGACCAACCATGCTGGCCTCACATTTGTAGCAGTTGAAGCAGCTGCTGTGCCAGTGCCTGTCTTCAAATGAAATAAACTTGGTGCCACCAATGCCTGTTGAATGGGAGACATTTTTTGTTACATGTAGAAATGTCAACAAGACAGTCGGACATCAAAACGCTAAGTCAGTCTGCCAAATAACGAAAAGTATAATTATCTATTGTGAGCTTAGCAAAACAACCTACCTGGTGCGCTCTGCCATATGTATGTATGTATGTGTGTATGTATGTATGTGTATGTGTATATATATATATATATGTGCATGTGTGCGTGCATGCGTGTGTGTGTGTTTTGTTGTTGTTGCTGCTCTTAACCATAGGGTCAACTTTACATATTTGTTGTTTGTTGCATCTGAAAAGTTGCACTTTGTTTCTTACTTTGACTGATAAATAATTTTGACACTGATAATGAACGAATCAATCAACAGATAAACTTTATTTTCTTATGTGATATTGACTGAATTTTATTTTATAAAAAGGATGATACAAAAAATCTTTCCTCTCCTCTTCCTTGTGTTCACCAGCTGTAACTCTGGTAGAAAAATTATAGATATGTTTGTTCCACAACCTGAGTTATGCATTCATATCCATTCAACAGATTTGCTTATTTGTGTGCAGACTGTTGGTTCCTTGCCTCTCTGGCAGATACGCTCTGATTTTGAACGAAACACCCTAATTAGTCGCAGTGTACTACACACTTGTTGGGGGCAATGGGTCTATTCTTCCGACCCCCACCTCTCCACAACTCCCCCCCCCCCCCCCCATCAAAATGAGACTCAAAAACCCATATAGCATTACCTAAGGTCACATTGTGATCACACGCAGCACTAACATACCTGTGATTGGTTTGGTGCAACGACAGCAGCGTTTAGCAAACAGCTCCCCGTAGCAGTCTCCACAGTATGGCTGCTCATCTTTGGAGGTGAACTTCTCTCCGGCCAGCAGTTTGTTGCAGTGGGTGCAGGTGAAACATTCACGGTGCCAGGGCATGTTCTTGTAGCTGATCCCACCTTTATTGATCACCTTATGTATATTTTTTTCAGAATGGATAGAATTATTAAATAATTCGATCAGTATAATTTACCTATTTAAGCATTACAAACAGGGAAAAAGTATAACTAGTTTCAGAATAGTCAATGCCTTTATTCACAGTGCATTCATAGACAGGCTAAGAAACAGAACAACTTAAAATCATCATCCCTAATTTCCACTTCTGCAGTCAAGCATCAGGAGAGGATCACCACTGCTTGATGGATAGCAATGGCTATTGTCATTCTGTGTTGATGTAGAATATACTTAATGTCATCAATCCATTTTCTCCTAGCGTGACCTCATGCTTTCATATCAGATCTTTTCATGTGTAGCGCCTATTGGTAGTTGTAGCTGCATTCTGACAAGATGACCAAACCATTTCATCTTCTGTTTTTCAATAAATTTGTGTGCATGGGTTTGTTCCCACAGTCTATCTGACAGTATCATTTCTCACTTTGTCTTGGATGCTTCAGTTGGTGGCTCATTTCTCACTTTTTCTTGGATGCTTCAGTTGGTGGCTCATTTCTCACTTTGTCTTGGATGCTTCAGTTGGTGGCTCATTTCTCACTGTCTTGGATGCTTCATTTGGTGGCTCATTTCTCACTTTGTCTTGGATGCTTCAGTTGGTGGCTCATTTCTCACTTTGTCTTGGATGCTTCAGTTGGTGGCTCATTTCTCACTTTGTCTTGGATGCTTCATTTGGTGGCTCATTTCTCACTTTGTCTTGGATGCTTCAGTTGGTGGCTTATTTCTCACTTTGTCTTGGATGCTTCAGTTGTTGGCTCATTTCTCACTTTGTCTTGGATGCTTCAGTTCGTGGCTCATTTCTCACATTGTCTTGGATGCTTCAGTTAGTGGCTCATTTCTCACTGTCTTGGATGCTTCATTTGGTGGCTCATTTCTCACTTTGTCTTGGATGCTTCAGTTGGTGGCTCATTTCTCACTGTCTTGGATGCTTCATTTGGTGGCTCATTTCTCACTTTGTCTTGGATGCTTCAGTTGGTGGCTCATTTCTCACTGTCTTGGATGCTTCATTTGGTGGCTCATTTCTCACTTTGTCTTGGATGCTTCAGTTGGTGGCTCATTTCTCACTTTGTCTTGGATGCTTCAGTTGGTGGCTCATTTCTCACTTTGTCTTGGATGCTTCATTTGGTGGCTCATTTCTCACTTTGTCTTGGATGCTTCAGTTGGTGGCTTATTTCTCACTTTGTCTTGGATGCTTCAGTTTGTTGGCTCATTTCTCACTTTGTCTTGGATGCTTCAGTTCGTGGCTCATTTCTCACATTGTCTTGGATGCTTCAGTTAGTGGCTCATTTCTCACTGTCTTGGATGCTTCATTTGGTGGCTCATTTCTCACTTTGTCTTGGATGCTTCAGTTGGTGGCTCATTTCTCACTGTCTTGGATGCTTCATTTGGTGGCTCATTTCTCACTTTGTCTTGGATGCTTCAGTTGGTGGCTCATTTCTCACTGTCTTGGATGCTTCATTTGGTGGCTCATTTCTCACTTTGTCTTGGATGCTTCAGTTGGTGGCTCATTTCTCACTTTGTCTTGGATGCTTCAGTTGGTAGCTCATTTCTCACTTTGTCTTGGATGCTTCAGCTGGTGGCTCTCCTCAGGCTTCTCACAAGAAACATTTTATCACAGGCAACAAAATGAGCCAGTCATCATTGTTAGGCCATATAATAAGATCACCAAAACTGGAACATCTGACAACTGGAAAGAAGTAGAAAATGGATGAAGATTCTTGAGTCTTCATGGCATGGAAGGATGTCAACACGTGAGTTGATGCATACAGCTGGAGGTCACACGCTATAGAGAAACAGTGATCTATGGCTGTTGAAAATGTCTTTGATGATTTATTGAAAATTATAAAGGGAAAATATTACAAATATAATCATTACTGTTTACATAGATTCAATAAATGACAAAGAAAGATAACATAACAAGTTATATGATCAGGAAAGGGAGGGTAGAATGGGTGGGGTGGGGGGAATTCTATTTCACTCTAAATTCACTGTGTATCTTTTTAAAACCTGTTGGTCATGGCTACATTATCAAGTTGAATAATTTCAATTATACTACATGTATGTCTGTCTATGCTACCTTTATTTTTATGCTCACTATTCAAAGAATGCTGTACAACTAATACTATAATTGTGAATTATCACTGAACTGCTAGGAAATTATGGTATACGGTTGCTAGCCTAATGAGCATGCTTAAGAAGATCCAAACTGGCAAAAGTTTGATTAGAATGGGTTGCAGAACCCATAAGTCCTGCCTCAAGAAATTATCTTGGCTGTTCTCAAGGATACAATGGGGTGAAAGGAAATGAACGATACAGGTTGAACAGGGTTTCTGGGTCTTGTACCTGGGTGATTCTCACTCGAATGGTGGCACACTGTTTCACCGGGTGTTTACTGCTTATTGTGTGGTCCTTGTGGAGTTGAACGTCAGTCAATCTCCCACATTATAACAACTAAAAATCTACTTACATCAGAGCACTTGGTGCATCTCTGTGCATACTTGCTCTCATAGCAAGGCACACACACAACTCGTTCATCCCTGGGTATGAAGCTCTTGTTGCCGATCGGCTGGTTACACTCAGTGCAGATGAAACATTGATCATGCCACTGCTTTCCCTTGTACTCAAACTTCTTCATCCCTGGTAGAGGACAAACAATACATAATGAAGTACATTTTGTAATCATGATGATCCTAAAGTACCTACATGAAACAGATTATAAACAGCATATTCATACCATCACTGTGCTTCCAGTGCCAGACTTGGACATTATCAAAGCCTAACCTACATACAATTAACACCTGTGAAATGACATGCCTGAGAAAAGCTGCCAACTAAACCATCGGAGGCAAAGTTAGAAATTATTTTATCAGAGAGACTATGGGAACAGCACCATGCAGAAAATTCACTGAGAAACAGAAGATCAAATGATTTGGTCATCTAGTGAGAATGCAGCCATAACAACTACCAATGCAGGCGCTACACATGAACAGATTTATATGAAAGCAAGAGGCCCAGAATATGGACTGATGACATTAAAGAGCTTCTACATGGACACTGAACGACAATAGCCGTTGCTACCCATCTAGCAATGGATCGCAAACTGTTCCTCCCCATGCGCATAATGACAGAAGTGGAAATTACCCATGATTATGATGATAATCAAGTACCTTGTCAATTTGCAAGGACAATCAAGTACCTTGTCAAATGACAAGAGCAATCATGCTTCTGGATATGTCATTTCAACATCATGTGCCAGCTCATGCGCTGATACCCAACTGTGCTATGGCAAATGACTATCAAGAATCCTTTGTGAATTTTTCCTTTATCTCTCTTTCCATAAATCTTCCTAGCTGTCACAATATGTTCCATGTTTGTCTTTTCTTACGAAGGGGCTTCAAATGAAAACCTTAAGTTTAATATTAATTAAAACAACCATGCCACTGGCATGTAACCTGTCAATTTTAGTGTTAAGGATGTCAAGAGTGTTAAGCAAGTGACGTCACGGTAACATCATAATGACATTTTATAGACGGCCGCTCCACTTTTGACATGCATAAAAAAGAAGCAGCATTGTGTTATCCGATTTTGTATCAGTGAAGAGGGGATTAAACCCATAGACATTCATCAGCGAATAAAAGCCTAGAACGGTGACGCATGCCTGCCAGTGCAGCAAGTGTATGAGTGCAGTGGGAAGTTTCAAAACGGCGTAACTTCTGTGACGGTCTCTTCGTGAACGGGTTAGGCACACCGCGTAGTGACCCCAGCTGAAATTTGCTACATACAAACACAAACTCACACATACGTACGTGTGCGTGGTGTTTCGTGTGTGAGGTTTTTTCTATCCATTAGCTGTAATAGTCAGTTCAATACTCAACAGGCACCAAGGAAGTCATGTCACAAAGACTGGCATTTAATTCCTAGCTAGAGCATTTTCTGGTGCTGATTTAATCTGGATGGAATAGTATTTATAAACAATGCCTCCAAGGGGATTCAAACACATCACCATTCGACTGGCAGGCGAGTTATCACTGCGGCTCCTCTCCACACCCACCCCCACATAAAACCACATATACACAAACACACACGCGATTATATGCATATGTGCGCTTGTGTATCTATCCCCAAAATCGTGGTACACAACAGACACAATTTTCCCATATATCCTACAATAATCAATATTTCAACAGGCTTACGGTGGGAGACAGGGGGTGGGGAAGGGAAAGGGGACAATGACCTGTTTGAGGCCACTAAATAACATACACATCACTGCCATCTATACATTTATCTATGCCGGTAGACTATGGGTGTGCCCGGTGCCTTTTTTTACGCACTTCTCTTTCTTGCTTCTGCTCGGGTCATAAGTTACCATTTCTACTGAGCTATCTGGGACTCACTCCGCAAATATGCCAGCGTTTTCTGTTATTTGCTGCGAAACATAACGTTGCCATTCCAATCTCTTTTTGGCTTTCCTGTTCGTTTCTTTTAAATTTTGCTATCTTTCTTCACGTTTTCTTGTCTCTGTATTTATCTCTCTCTCTCCCCCCCTCCTATTTACGTAAAATATGCCTAACAACCTACCAAAGATCTACGTACTTATCTATTCGCACACATTGTGTATGTATGTATGTATGTATGTATGTATGTATGTATGTATGTATGTATGTATGTATGTATGTATGTATGTATGTATGTATGTATGTATGTATGTATGTATGTATGTATGTATGTATGTATGTATGTATGTATGTATGTATGTATGTATGTATGTATGTATGTATGTATGTATGTATGTATGTATGTATGTATGTATGTATGTATGTATGTATGTATGTATGTATGTATGTATGTATGTATGTATGTATGTATGTATGTATGTATGTATGTATGTATGTATGTATGTATGTATGTATGTATGTATGAATGAATGAATGAATGTATGAATGAATGAATGTATGAATGAGTGAGTGTGTGTGTGTGTGTGTGTGTGTGTGTGTGTGTGTGTGTGTGTGTGTGTGTGTATGTATGTATGTATGTATGTATGTATGTATGTATGTATGTATGTATGTATGTATGTATGTATGTATGTATGTATGTATGTATGTATGTATGTATGTATGTATGTATGTATGTATGTATGTATGTATGTATGTATGTATGTATGTATGTATGTATGTATGTATGTATGTATGGATCTATGTATGTATGTGTGGATCTAGGTCTGTCTGTCTGTCTGCCTGTAAGTCCATCCATCCACCCGCCTGTCTGCCAGAATGTTCGACCATCATCAACCGCCCATGCTACAAATCATTAAACACAGCAGAAACACGTAACGGGACATTCCCCTAGTGTCAGCAGTTTTCAATACAGATATAAGGAGCGTGCGCCACACACCCAACACATTCCCAGACCGTGCAATAAACAGCCCGTTGGCAAACTCACCCAGTAAAACTCAGGTAAAGACAAGACAAGGTGGGCTGTTGGAGAGCAGGGGGCCACGGGAAAAAGCGCTGACTGGATGCAGAAGGTATTTAATTCTGCCAGACGCTGGCCAGTTTTTACCTGTTGGTGTGAGCCCTTCTGTTTTGTAATGACGTCATCGACGTGTACTGAGCTGAGATTCTTCGGTTTGAGTTGAAAATAGAACGGAACACTTATGGGTTACTATCCTTGTGCCATGTTGTTGATCCGTTGTATAAACAATAAATAAAACACACCATAGCATGGAAGATCATCTGTAACAGAATTGACTGAATCTATTTCAAACGAACGGAAGAAGAAGAAGAAGAAGAAGAAGAAGAAGAAGAAGAAGAAGAAGAAGAAGAAGAAGAACAAGAACAACAACAACAACAACAACAAGAACAAGAAGAAGAACAAGAAGAAGAACAAGAAGAAGAAGACGACGACGAAGAAGAAGAAAAAGTGACCGAAAAATCACGAGACAGAAGGATGTGGATAGACATGACCACTAACGCCACACGGCATGGACTATGAAAGATCATCTGTGTCAGAACTGATTCAAAGTAAACGAAACAAAAGGTTGTGGATAGACAAGACTACCAACGCCACACAGCATGGACTATGAAAGATCATCTGTGTCAGAACTGATTCAAAGTAAACGAAACAGAAGGTTGTGGATAGACAAGACTACCAACGCCACACGGCATGGACTTTGAGAAGCAGAAGAATGTGCCGCGATGGCATACGGTTTGGGTTCGTGTCTGCTAAGAAAGCAACCCTGTTTCAACATCCCAGCAGAAACAGGGATATTCTGTCCATCATTACGGCTATGGAGTGCCAGATGGATACCAGATAATGGCCAGGTAATTGTCTAAGAAAGAAAGGCAACTAGAAAAAGAGCTGGCCAGTCCACGTTGCATGCCGTGGCTTAGAATATGTGAAGGCCTAATATCTGAAGCAAATGCTATTAAATTACCTTTTTTGAACAGTCTTCAGACATAATCAGTTCGCATATGTAAGCATTAGTAGGCAGCGTTACACTGTAGTATGTGTCATTTTCCTCCTAGTCGCTTCGCTGTTAAGAATGCATGCGCAGCTAGCATCGTGAACTAGTAAGTGGTAGCTCTCACGCGTTACTACAGTTTCGGTGTGTGGTGTAAGCATGCAGCAAACGTTATTTCCGCTATGTACGAAACGTAAACCGAGTGATGTAATGTAGTAAAAAGTGAACAGTGATAATAAATAGCAAAATAATGCGTTTTACTTTTGGCATCGGAAATTGTGGGCGGGATCACAGCAGTTACATGTACGCCTCGCCTGCTAGGTCTTAGTTTCGCTCTCTTTGCGTGTGTGTCTGCGGGTTTGTGTGTGTGCCTGTGTCCGTATGTATGTATGTCTGTGTGTTTAGTGTCCGCGCGCGCGCGTGCTTCTGTCGGTCTGTCTGTGTGTGCATGTGTGTGTATGTATGCGGGTGAGTGGGTGGGTGTGTGAATGTATGTGTGTGTATATATGCGTGTCTCAATGAGTGGGTGGGCGCGTGTATGTGGGTATATGTGTGTGTGCGCTCATGCGCTAGTGTGTGCATGCATGTTACCACCTATGCTTTTGTGGGTTTAAAAAAAATAGTATATACAATATTCATATTATCACATGAATATACCACTTTATTGATAAAATACAGCTGCTGTGTGAAAGACGGGTGTTTAAAAGGGCCGAATGTAAAACAGGCCTGCGTGCCCAATTTGTGACCCTCTGAAAACAAAAGTTCGTTCGTTCGTTCTCTCTCTCTCTCACACACACACACAACACACACATATTTTAGACACCAATACAGACAGCTTAGCAATACTGGAATAATCGGGACACATTTATCAGAAACCGCTGAACATGTCAGGTGGCGAATCATGATCACTCACGCTTATCGGCGCGACGCAAGATGATGCTAACCAGCGGGAAGTTAGCATTTTAAATGCTGTGTAGACATACGTGATAATGTTCACGTTGTAACAATGACAACGATCATAATGATCGGTTACTTCCGCGAGAAGTACTAAAGGACATAGGCCCATACTTGTAAGCATCGACCGGTGGATCGTGTATGACTCAGCGGCCCGTCTGCAGAGCGCTGTCTACATTTGGGTAGGAGAGCGCGGGAAAACAAATACTGCTGATCTGAATTATTCAGTGAAACACAGTCTGTAGAACATAAACATAGAGGGGAAACCCTTAAGACCGTAGAAATATATATATATATAATATATATATATATATATATATATATATATATATATATATATATATATATATATATATATATATATATATATATAAACAAACAGACAATGAATCGATTGGCACTTATAGAAACAAGCAGTAAGTTAGAAGGACACACTAGACAACACAAAAATCGAAAGCTATAGTTACCGTGCCGGGAATCGAACCCGTCACCTCCAAATGGCGTGTGAGCCTCGCTATGGAAAGAAATATACTAAGAACATGAACCCCCCCCCCCCCCCCCCCCCCCCAGACGAAAAAGTATCTTCACTGTCCATGCCTATCCTACAGCTTACAATCCACAACTATGAAATAGGGACATAATTCATTTTAAACCATTAAAATGGCACCAGAGGTTACATAAATTTTAATTAACCAAGCATAAGTCGAATTACAAACACGGCAACAATTCACAAACACAGCAGACTGTGCTGCTTTGTCTAGAATACACGAACATTAAAGAAAGATAGGTGACTGGTAGGTTCCATTGTGTTACTTGTCATCCACATAAATTTCCATAGCGAGGCGCACACGCCATTTGGAGCTGGCAGGTTCGATTCCCCGACACCGTATTATAGCTTTAGATTTTTAGTTTGTCTAGTGTGCCTTTCTATCTTTCTACTCATTTCTATGAAAAACCGAAATGCCGGAGCTCGATCCCAGCTGCAGGTGATCTGGCAGCAGACCGCCTTGCATTGGTTTCAACACCGGTATTGATAGCTAATCGTTCATGGGCAATGGCAAACTACTGAATGTGAATCTACCTAGAGAAAGCACAAACCTCCCCCCCCCCCCCATTTTTCTAAGTTTAAAAACAAAAAACCAAAACAAAAAAAAATAGGGTTGGCTCTGCAATGTCCTGTAAAGCTGGTGATTAAGGCTGGAATCGACAAAATTATGAAACCTTTTTCTGATGGGGCATATATGTGAATTAGCCATTGGAGCCTACAACAGGATGCTCACGACCTCCTCTCTCATACCGCGTTCAAAAATGGTACTTACAGTTAGTAAAGACGGTGGCTCTAAAAAGTGATAAATAGAGTCATTATAAGGAAGAACAAGAAGAACCTTGCATTCTAATTCAAGAAGTTGAGAGAGTTATCAAGATGAGCCCAAATAATAAATCAGCAGGTATAGACGGTATAACGAACGAGGCAATTAAAGCGTGCGGAAAAACCGGAGCAAAATGGATACATAGAATATTCACGGTAGCATGGAACGAAAGGTAAACACCGGAGGATTGGCAAAAAGCTATTATAGTCCCAATTTGGAAAAACAAGGGCAATAAAAGAGAGTGTGACACATACGGAGGAATTTCTTTATTGAGCCATGTAGGGAAGCTATATTCAAAAGTACTTGAGACAAGAACAAAACATATTGTAGACACAGCTGAGTAAAGCTCAGTTTGGATTTAGGAAAGGAAAAAGTTGCACAGATGCCCTTTTCACCCTAAGACAACTTAGTGAAAAGGCAATAGAATATAACAAACAACTCAATATAGCATTCATTGACCAAGAAAAAGCCTTTGACAGGGTAGACAGGAACAAACTATGGAATATATTGAACGACTATGGAGTACAAGGTCAGCTACTAGACAACATCAGATCTCTGTACCAAACAAGCTCAAGCGTAGTTAGAACAAATGTTGGTGTGACAGACGAATTCATACTAAGAACAGGAGTAAGACAGGGTTGTGTACTATCACCACTACTATTCAATATATACATGGACAGAAATTCTGAAAATAAGTAGAACATCTAATATACTAACTATTCAAGTTAACAACGAACAACTCAAACAAGTGAAGCAATTTAAATACTTGGGGAGCATCTTCACAGATGATGGAAGAATTGATAGGGAACTTGAGGCAAGATGTCAAAAGGCGAACGCAGTAACTTACCAACTCTCCCCACTGCTAAAACACCCAAACATCACTATGGCACTAAAACGACAACTGATAAATTGCATGTTTATACCAAACCTCTGCTACCAATGCCAAACCTGGTCCCTAACAAGAGCACAGGAGAAAAAGATCACGACGTGCGAAATGAGATGCTTACGTAAGGCTGCCAATGTCACAAGGAGAGACACAGAGTTCAAAACGAGAACATTAGAGCAATTGTAGGAACCACACCATGCCTGCAATAAATAAAGAAGCAACAAATAGAGTGGTTTGGCCACTTGATGCGAATGCAAACCGACCAACTGCCTCTACAAGCATACGACGAACAGCACTACTGCCCTAGAGCAAGAGGCAGACCGAGAGTACGATAGATAGACAATATATCAGAGATCCTGAGGCAACACGGACTAACAACAACACGTGCAACACACCTGGCCCAGGATAGAAAACTGCGACTCCCCACTACGCTGTGAGGCAATTGTGGACAAGACAAGACAAGACAAGACAATGACAGCTGTGCAGTGTACACATATGTACACTGTAGGTAATGAACAAGCAGACAGATTGGCTAGATCTGCACCACTGGGTGGTGAATTGATACATTACAAGGCAGATGTGGTCAAGGCAGTTTGGGAACAAGCAACGGAGTCAGTAGAGAAAGAAGATTATTATGGCCTGGAGAGAATGAGGCACCTGGGTGTAACCAGAGGATCAGGCCGGCTGACTACACTCAGAGGAAAGGCAAGATGGACATTTAACCTGATTGTGACCGGTAGCATCAGTATTAGAGCTCTGCGCTGGCTGCTGAAGATGAGGACGGAGCATGCATGGGAATGCCGCTAGTGCTGTGATGTAAATTCTTGACTCAACTCAACTGTCAAGGGACAGGTGCACCTTACGTTATAAAAGGTCAGTCATACATCACACCAACAAGGAGTCAATGAATTTTAGTCTAAACTGAAGACCAATAGGCATGTACTTTAATATTCATCAGTAATCTAACGAAATTAAAAAAGGGTTCTTTATTAATATACTACCCCCAGGACAGTCTAACATTTTAGAGGGTGGTAAGACTGGGTTTCCCGGCTTTCTGATGCTTTTAACGACCCTAAAACATATCAAACTGGCCCTAACCATAACACACCTACGTCTCACGAGAGAGTGCAGTCTTCGTCCCACGACTGCATGCAACCTATCTACCACCCCCTGAAATATTAAAATGTCCCGTAACCTGTAGATTTCCCCTGTTTGGGGTAGGATAATAATAAAGCACCAATATAAAAAAAATATCCGTCTTTAGTCGGACAGAGAACAGTATTCTTCTTTGAGTTGGTTTTTGTAGGCACAGGTCAGATCGTCAGGTGGTCAGATGGTCAGATGGTCAGGTGGTCAGATGGTCAGGTGGTCAGATGGTCAGATCGTCAGGTGGTCAGATCGTCAGATGGTCAGATCGTCAGGTGGGCAACTTCTATGAATTCGCATATCAGCTGCAGGTCTCTCGTAATGCTCCATAGTTTGCTCTGCACTTTGTTCTTGGGGACAGAGTTCATTGACGTTGTCAGTATAGTGGATAAGGCCTGCAGAATATGCCGAGGTGTTCCTATCTTACATGCACACTGTGGGGACTGTACAATATGACAAACAAGTCTCACCTCCACGGAAAGGCTCTCCGCACCCATCGCACCGGGCAGCGAAATTGTTGTCATGACAATCAGAGCAGTAGATCTTGTCGTTCTTGGAGGCAAACGGTTGGTCCACCAGCGACTTCTGACAGCCGATACACTTGAAGCAGAACTCGTGCCAGTGGCGGTCCTTGTAGGACAGGTCCTGTGGAGAGGAAGGAGTTGTTAATATTTTCTTAAAATTATCAGAAAAATCCTCATCGTTGTCAACACCATCTGTATTTTCGTTGTCGCCATCACCGTGACGATGATAGTGATGATGATGATGATCATCATCAGCACAACGATCATCACCATCATATTTGTGTGCTATTCCGACCAGATATTATAACTAGTTCTCGTGACCGTTTCTGAAATGCTTTCTTTAGTTCATATTCAGTTTTATTTTATTTAAACGAACAGTGATACAACTTTTACATCTATGCTGTCTTTGTCTGATATTAAAACAAAAAATCGTTACATTTTCCTAAATGATATATGACATGAACACACATAAATACGATATATTTGTAGCAGTAGCAGTAGTCGTAGTAGTAGTAGCAGTATTGGTGTTGGTGGTGGCGTTATTATTATTGTTATTAGTAGCAGTAGTAGTAGCAGAAGCCACAGCAGCGGTAGTGGTCGTGGAATTCTTAGAAACAGCCAAAATGTGCAACCAAGATGTTTTGAAGGACGCGAGGGCTCGAAGACAACTTATCACAAACACCAGAAAGTGACACCCGTAAAAAAATTTGTGTGTGCCATTTTATGGTAAGAAGGAAACTAGAACATGCTGTGACCACTGGAAAGATCTGTGGAAAAACAGAGGAAGACACAGCGAGAATATTTTTGATAGCCTTGTCATGACATGGAGGGGTGTCTATAAATTCCGTCTGCTTACAAAGGACGGGGGTTGTAGATTTTAATTGTTAAAGCTTCGGCCATTCTTAAAGGTCCACAGTTCGGTGTTTGATAAACCACCCACACGGAAAGCACTGTCTGTGTCAATTTCGTTTCCAGAATTAAGTAGATGACGTAACTGATATTTGTGGTTGATGTAAGTAATCAGTCATGATCAGCTGGCCCTACACATGCAATATTAATGCCCCTCGGCACTTAGCCAGATCGAAACGCTAACCGCCAACAGTCATTCTGACATATGTGTGCTATCCTGACCTGATAACAGAACTAGCTCTCCTGAATATTTCTTTACTCTTTGAGTCCCAAGAAAGGTCAAATGTGTCAACAGATATTTTCTGTGTGTCCCAAAAATTACGTCGAAAATATTTCAGAAGTTTTATGTTTGGTCAGTCTGTATTAGATGAATGTGGCAAATCCAGTAGCAACTTTTGTTCTTTTCATATTTCTGTGACAAAATGCAGCATGCAGCAGTTTGAACTGAGGGAACAAGCAACCACCCCCCCCCCCCCCCCCAAAAAAAAAAAAAAACAGGAGTCGCGAACCCTCCGCCGCCAAGTTTAGGAGTTCTCTCTCGAGTCTTTGTTGACCGACAGCTGTACATTTGTACAATTATTATTATTACACACTTAAACAAAACCTGAGCCGCTGGCTAGCCCTTCCCCTTTCCGATACTTTATCAGGATTCTGGTGTGTTTCGGCATAGTGGTTTGTTTTCCTGAGATGATTGTTGAGCAACTGAAGATTTAGTGCAAAACCTCCTTGGACTGAATGAGTCTAAGGATGTCCTGAGTCTAAGGATGTCATGAGTCTAAGGATGTCCTGAGTCTAAGGATGTCCTGAGTCTAAGGATGTCCTGAGTCTAAGGATGTCATGAGTCTAAGGATGTCCTGAATCTAAGGATGTCCTGAGTCTAAGGATGTCCTGAGTCTAAGGATATCCTGAGTCTAAGGATGTCATGAGTCTAAGGATGTCCTGAGTCTAAGGATGTCCTGAGTCTAAGGATGTCCTGAGTCTAAGGATGTCCTGAGTCTTAGGATGTAATGAGTCTAAGGATGTCCTGAGTCTAAGGATGTCCTGAGTCTAAGGATGTCCTGAGTCTAAGGATGTCCTGAGTCTAAGGATGTCCTGAGTCTTAGGATGTCATGAGTCTAAGGATGTCATGAGTCTAAGGATGTCCTGAGTCTAAGGATGTCCTGAGTCTAAGGATGTCCTGAGTCTAAGGATGTCCTGAGTCTAAGGATGTCCTGAGTCTTAGGATGTCATGAGTCTAAGGATGTCATGAGTCTAAGGATGTCCTGAGTCTAAGGATGTCCTGAGTCTAAGGATGTCATGAGTCTAAGGATGTCCTGAGTCTAAGGATGTCCTGAGTCTAAGGATGTCCTGAGTCTAAGGATGTCCTGAGTCTTAGGATGTCATGAGTCTAAGGATGTCATGAGTCTAAGGATGTCCTGAGTCTAAGGATGTCCTGAGTCTAAGGATGTCCTGAGTCTAAGGATGTCCTGAATCTAAGGATGTCCTGAGTCTTAGGATGTCATGAGTCTAAGGATGTCATGAGTCTAAGGATGTCCTGAGTCTAAGGATGTCCTGAGTCTAAGGATGTCCTGAGTCTAAGGATGTCCTGAGTCTAAGGATGTCCTGAGTCTAAGGATGTCATGAGTCTAAGGATGTCATGAGTCTAAGGACGTCCTGAGTCTAAGGATGTCATGAGTCTAAGGATGTCATGAGTCTAAGGATGTCCTGAGTCTAAGAATGTCCTGAGTCAGTTTCCATCTTCATTTGACTGACACTAACACCGAAGATGATTGACATAAATGCTGATAAAACTTGCCAGTTGTGTGCTATCCACAGAACATCGATTAGCAACGTATGTTCGGCACACAGTTGATTGCTTCATGAAGATTTATTCATTCAGCGGGTGTAAAATGACATGGAAATGGAAAGAAGGATTCAGGCTTTCGAATATAAATGTCACAGTCGCATTTTACGAATTAGTTATTCAGAACACACAACTAACTAATACGTTAGAGACGAAATATACACATTTGCAGGACATCAGGAGCCTCTCTTGGCAGCGGTAAAACGTTGCTAGCTAGCCTGGGTTGGGCACGTCGTGAAATGATTCGATTGCAAAGACTATATGTACTTCAAGGAACATTGCGGAAAGAAAAAGGGGGGTGGGGGGGGGGGGGGGGGTTGGTGGAAGATGAGGAGGACAAAGAAGAACCCGGAGGGAGTTCATCAAGAAATGGACAGGACTAAATTGTCATACACTTATTCATCAAGTGAAAGACAGTGTGGCTTTGGTAATCATGTCCAGCCCCTACCTTCTGTCTCGTGCTGTGTGGCGTTGGCAGTCATGTCTAGCCACACCCTTCTGTCTCGTGCTGTGTGGCGTTGGTAGTCATGTCCAGCCCTTACCTTCTGTCTCGTGCTGTGTGGCGTTGGCAGTCATGTCCAGCCCCTACCTTCTGTCTCGTGCCGTGTGGCGTTGGTAGTCATGTCTAGCCACAAACTTCTGTCTCGTGCTGTGTGGCGTTGGTAGTCATGTCTAGCCACAACCTTCTGTCTCGTGCTGTGTGGCGTTGGTAGTCATGTCTAGCCACAACCTTCTGTCTCGAGCCGTGTGGCGTTGGTAGTCATGTCTAGTCACAACCTTCTGTCTCATGCTGTGTAGCGTTGGTAGTCATGTCTAGTCACAACCTTCTGTCTAGTGCTGTGTGGCGTTGGCAATCATGTCTAGTCACAACCTTCTGTCTCGTGCTGTGTGGCGTTGGTAGTCATGTCTAGTCACAACCTTCTGTCTAGTGCTGTGTGGCGTTGGCAATCATGTCTAGTCACAACCTTCTGTCTCGTGCCGTGTGGCGTTGGTAGTCATGTCTAGCCACAAACTTCTGTCTCGTGCTGTGTGGCGTTGGTAGTCATGTCTAGCCACAACCTTCTGTCTCGTGCTGTGTGGCGTTGGTAGTCATGTCTAGCCACAACCTTCTGTCTCGTGCCGTGTGGCGTTGGTAGTCATGTCTAGTCACAACCTTCTGTCTCATGCTGTGTAGCGTTGGTAGTCATGTCTAGTCACAACCTTCTGTCTAGTGCTGTGTGGCGTTGGCAATCATGTCTAGTCACAACCTTCTGTCTCGTGCTGTGTGGCTTTGGTAGTCATGTCTAGCCACAACCTTCTGTCTTGTGCCGTGTGGCGTTGGCAGTCATGTCTATCCACAACCTTCTGTCTCGTGCCGTGTGGCGTTGACAGTCTTGTCTAGCCACAACCTTCTGTCTCGTGCTGTGTAGCGTTGGCAGTCATGTCTAGCCACAACCTTCTGTCTCGTGTACATTTTAATCAAATGATCCTTCATGGCATGATGTCAAACTGTCCAGCATCTGTTTTCTCTCGGTCTCGTTCTGCCTCCCCTCTCCCCCCTCCAACTTTCCTACTGTCACAGTGTACTCCAGTTTTCTCCTTCTCATCACATGACCACAATGTAGATTGTCTCCTATGTGGGCAATCATTTCTTTTCGTGAGTCAGTTTCTTTCAAGACGTCTTCATTACTCTTTTCATCTGTCCGGGGCATTCTCATCATTCGCCTATAAAACCACATCTCCGCAGCTTGCAAATAGGTTTTCACTAATTTACCAACTGTCCAAGACTTACTTCCGTATATCAATATAGGATTTATATAGCTTTTAAGAATTCTTTTTCTCGCCTCAACTGACAAAGAAAGATTCCATAAAATATTCTTTATTTTGTAAAATGCTGCCTTTGCTTAAAAATCAATTCGACATTAAACTTCCTTAATACATCTTCCATCTGATGTTGTCAGGGTACCAAAGTACTTGAACATATCAATTTGCTCGAGGTTTGTCCCAATTACTTTGAGGTGCATACATTCTTACACACGTTATTTCATCTAATCTCGTGTCTTCTATCAGCTTTACTGTGTATCCACTCATGCCACATGTTGTATATTGTGAACTTTCCGCACTACAAACTAAGAATCACTCACCATGATTAATCTGATTATTTTCTGTTATTTACTTCAGTGTTGCTGTGATAGCCTTCAACTCGATCCTCATCCTTAATGTCTTGAATTAAAAAGCACCACTGTCTTCTGCCACAAGATTTCCCTTTACTCCAGCTGAAAATCCCCAGCCAGATTTTTTATCCCAGTGACCAGAACCATCGTGCACAATATTACATCACCTAGGCCAGCGTTTTCATCTATCAGTTGCTGATATGGCACACGGTAATTGATGAAATAGGAAAAAAAGGAGTTTAAGATAAATTAAACCATTAGGAATACTAAATGTTTATGTCCACGAGCAATGTGATGACAGTAACCATACATTGAGAACTAACAGGCTCATAATAAAACTATAGTCAGAAGCAAAACAGGATATGATAAAAATTGGTCAGAACCAAAAGCACGATACTAACCAGATACTAGCCACGCAGTCAGGACCTAAACGTTGATGTCAGCCTTGTAGTCAGGACCAATACAATGATACTACGTGCATGTGGGTTGGAGGAGGAAAGGGGGTGGGGGAGGAGTGTTGCAAAATGGACTTCATTAAATGAAAATAAAATAGCTTAGGATGTGATATCACCACATCTTGTTTGAGAATAGAGGTGGAGGCGGTCATAACAGGTGTCTGCTGGCTTGAGAACCAGCTGCACACACATGTCATGATTGTAACAGTCCAACAATGTATGCTGGGATGCTGCCAAGGCGATTTGGGAGCGGGTGAACAACATAGAAACGCAAACAGATCATTATGGCCTGGAGAGAATAGTGAAGCCGGAAGTCACCAGAGACCAGTGTTGCCACTTTGGATGTTTTACATCCAGATTTAGACGTTTTTCCTTGCATTTAGACAGCGTTTTTGACGTTTAGATTGTTGATGTTTTTCTACATGTTTTTCATTTGGAGTAAATTTATCGAATCTAACCCAAGAAACAGAATGAAATTTGACCTCCTAAATGCTATCTTGACAATAAAATTCGGCCTGATAAGAGTAGGAAAAGGCTGTTTCACTTACTAGCTCCCTGATTGTGTATTAAAAGAAATTGGAACAGCTAAAGCATACCAGAGTCATTTTGGATCTGAAGTTTCACCTTCATCATCTAATCTAAGTTTATTCCGTGGATCTTGTAAGGCAGACTTCAGTTAAGATGAGGACATGATTCTATAGAGTGAGTCATATCAATTGCTATGTAATTTGTGACTCTTTCCATTTTGATGTTTTTTTCTAGATGTTTTCCACGCAAATTGAGATGTTTTTAGATATTAGTTGACTCCGTTTTAGATGTTTTTTGTCAAAGAAAAGTGGCAACACTGCCAGAGACCCACACCATTCAGCACAAAGGCTAGTCGACATACAATCAGACCGCTACCGCTATCAACTAAACTGGGACTTTTCGCTGGCTGCTGCAGATTGGTACGTCGCGCTTAAAGCAACGTCCCGAGTGCTATGATGCGGGTTCTTAAACCTCAGTTATGATCAGCAGAATGATACTGACCGCAGAAGAAAAAAAAATGATAAAACTTACCTTATAGTCAGGACCAATAGGCTTGCCGCACTCCTCGCAGTTGTGGGCGAACAACTGCTGGTAACAGGGGATGCAGTACGGGTGCTCCTCCTTGACGATGTACCTGCAAGCTATCAGTTGCTTGTCGCAGTTGTGGCAGGCCAAGTGCTCCTTGTGGTAGTTCTGCTCCATGGCTCGGGTGTATTCCGCCGAAAAGATTAGCTGGAGACAGTGGAGAAGATTTTAGTGAGCAACATCTACACTAGCTGTTCTGTGTGTGTGTGCGCGTGAGTGTGTGTGTATCTGTGTGTGTGAGGGTGCGTGACCTACTTTAGATGTGTATATCAGCGTCTGTGTGTGATATAGTTTACATAGGTTTCAAAGAATTTTAAAGTCGAGAGCATTGACTTCACTGCAATGGGTTTCAGCCCATGTGACTCGATATTGCGCTAAAGAACGGCTATCCGATTGCCAAGACTGACACATAAATTACGAATTCCCCCCCCCCCCCTCCCCCACAGCGAAGCACCTACCTACCTAGGAATTTAATTTTCGTTGTGTACAGTTAATATAATTTATGTACAACAGAAATAGGTACTATGGGATATGACTAACGGATGCATAATTTAGGCGAACCCAGGGACAAAAAAAAAAAAAAAGAAACCCACTATGAGCGCCCCCCACCCCCTCCACCATCCCCCTCGGTCTCAAAATGTTAAGGCGGGAGTACCACTGCATTTCAATTCCCAGCATCACCAAGGGGTCCACGACACGGAGGTGTCAGCCATTTAATCTAGCCACTCCAGTGACAGAGTTCGCAAGTTTCTTAAAAATCGCTTTATATACACTTTGGGAACTCTGGCGCGCAGTGGACTAAACTGCTAACACGGTTTCAACTAAATTCTAGGAGTCTGAACTGTCTACAGTTTCATCTTATCCTCGAGTGACGGCCCCTGACATATCCCGGGTTATTTATTTTCCCGGCTCCACGAAGATACGTTATATTATGTATTTGTGTAGTACTGTCTAATAAATGTATGTGCTATAGAAGGCTCCATAGCTGCAAAGTTCACGTTTTGTTTGTGTTTGTTATATTGTAAAGCTCGCTTATATACTTTTCGTTCGGTTTGATATCTTTTCCTGAAAAGTTTATACAGGGAGAAAAACACTGCTTAACCCCCCTTTTTTCCCCACCCCAAGCATGTCCTAAAAGTCAACTAATTGAAAGCTACCTTAGAAGTCGGAGTGCATCTGCCCGAGCGGCAATAAACACCCAATCAACTGCACACAAATAAGCCAGTAAATTGGATGAATGTAAACAGAAATCTCCGGCCCTGGCACAAAACCAAAGTTCAAATAGACGAACAACCTGGACCTTCCGCCTGAGCTTTAAAGCCAGTGAACAAAGAAGAAAATGTGTAAGACAAGCAAGTTTTATCACCACTTATGTGTATCACCTATACTGACAACAACAGCCAAGATGCAAAGCATAGGAATGCAAATATTAGTAAGAGTAACTACTCTTTATAACATCTGTAAGGGACTTTTCCTCCCCCCCCCCCTTTCTCCATTTTGTGCTTTTTTAGTGTCGGTGCAATAGCGTGTAATGTTGATGTATCAAGCAGGCACGTGTACAGTACATGTGCATAACTGTGTACATTTTATAAGTATTAAACATATACTATGACAGGAGAATATCGACTGCAATATACTGAATCAAAGGCGACAAAGACGAGAACTAAGAGGATAAGTCTGAGGACAAGGACAGGGGATGGGCTGACGTGGATGATACTGAGAGGCAGGAGAATTTACCGCAAACAAAGGCAAATGTAAAGATAAATCACATGTCTGCTGGCGGCATGTTGAAGTAGCAAGGCCGTTCAGGAGTTTATCGATTAACTTGTCGGCGCTTGTGACTGAGGATACATTGTAGTCAGTTGATGTTGGTAGATGTTCGCGCGGGTATGTGTGTGTCTGTGTGTGTGTGTGTGTGTAGTATAAAATGCAGAGGTACATGTATTCATGTTATGTGGTAGATTTATGTGTGTGTGATACGTATAATTATGAGTGTACAGCATACGTGGTAGTGGTGCATGTATGGGCAGTTTATGCTGGTAAATATGATGTGTATATACGTCTGTGTACACCTGCGTGCGTTAGTGCTACAACACATACAGCCAATATTAATTGTTTAGCATGTGTGTTGTATTCAGGAAAACTAAAGCAGGCAATAAATGCACGGAGAAGTCAAACGTGACGGCTGACAGGGTACAACGAAATTATGTCCTCGGATAAACAGAAGAGAAGAAGAAGATATGTGGTAGATACGTATATGCGCAAAGTTGTGATTGATATATCATATATAGTTCTGCCGTTCGAAGATCCTTCTTCTTCATCTTCCTTCGAAGTCGGAGTGCATCTACATGATAGGCGAAGAACAAACAGTCTGCATACAAATAAGCCAGATCTGAGAAACGAAAATGCACGCAACACTCAAGTACCGTAACAAGACTAAAGTCCACACGTGGACCTACAATCAGAACTTTCCGTGTGAGATTACAGTCAGTGAAAGCCAAACGAAGAACAATATCTTCTCAAAGACTCTTCCAAGAATAAAACCCACCCATCCAACTGCAGATCAAACCGATGCCCTAAAGCCATGGATGAAAAGCCTTGGACAAATCTATATGTAGCTATCAGAGTTGGCCTTGAAAAGCCCCACCATCTCACCTGTAGACTATTTGACGCTGCAGAAACTAGTGTTTGGCAACCCGGTTCCTGCCACTCCGGATGTTTTTACCATCGCCTTCTCTAGAAGACGCCCTCCAAGTGTCCCGTGACGTCATAGGCCGTGAGGCTGACTTTCCTTCATCCACCGGTGTGTTTACATCCATGTTCAGTTGCTGTGTTGTGGACGTTGCCTTCATTAACTATATTCAACCCTAAATATAGTCGGCCGTGGTTTTACCTACAATACTTTGCACTTCATTACCTGGTCTACAGCAGATTTATTTGTTGGGGAGTTTTTGGAACATGCCAATGAACTGCGTAGCGGCGGCAGACTCATAATAATGAACATCGCATGAGGGTTCCCGGGCATTAGGGGTGGGTGCAGTAAAAAAGTAAAGTAAAGATCCCTTTTCACGCCTTTCGGCGCATCGGGCATATTGGCAGAGCGTCCCATATTTTTACAACGGACCATCAGCTCTGTGTGGGTAATGTGGTCAGCATTACGCCGGCTGTCTTTACTTTCCCAGGACAGCCCATCCTGGTACCCATTTTAGGCTGGGTCGACCTGCGACGTCCCATACCACGATAAAAATCCACGCAGCCTGCAGTGGGTTTCGATCGCGGTATGCTGGCTTACGAGTCGGACTCGCAACGCCTTAGTGGGTGCAGAGAAGGGTACAAAACACAACCAGCGTCCCTTAACAAGCATGTCTTAAAAGACGACTAATTAAGGGTTTGCTGCAAAAATCGTTTATGTTTGGCCGAAAGACGCAGATAATGTAGCCTAGCTGTTGATAACACAACACAACGTGCAAATAGTTCTTTAAAGGCGAATGTAAAAGAAGAAGAAGAAGAAGAAGAAAGAATGAAAAAAAAGAATAAATGAAAGAAAGAAAGAAAAATTAGAAGAAGGAACATAAATCAATTACAGTTAGGGATCCAGAATCTTTAGTCTGTTTTTTAAAGCTGCGCAAAATGTTTTGCCTCTTGACATTTAGGAACTGATGCAAGCTCAGATACGGTACCACGATTGTGATCATCATAAGAGAAAACATGGTTCCAGTAGTTGCGTTGTGTAAACTATTCTACACCAATCTGCTGCTCACTGGTTGTCGATCACCGCTGAACCAAGTACCGCCAGTACAAGCTGGACAGTCTGCATTATGTTCTTTGTGCAGCTAAAGAGAGATCGGCACACTTCCAAAATAGCTGTCATGAGGTATCTTAGGTTTGATTGTTGTCCTCGACTATCTAGAAATCTCGGTTCTGTCTCAATATCCCCCCCCCCCACCTCCCCCAGACAGTGGAGTAATTTAGGGGGTGGTAGATAGAATGCATGCAGTCGTGGGACCTAGGCTGCATGCAGTCGTGGTGCATAGCCTGCACTCTCTCGTGGTACATAGGTGGGTTGGGGTTAGGCTTATTTTGAGATGTTTTGCGGTAGTTAAAAGCCGCAAAAAGCCGGGAAATCCGCTCTTACCACCCTCGAAAATTTTGGACTGTCCGGTGACGTCATCATGGGGGGAGATATTGGAAAAACACCTCTGTTATCCCACCTCTTTTCTGAAATTCATTAGGCAATAGGGCAGCTGTATAATTATTAGAGCACAGAGCACCCACAACAGCAAGCAGAAATGCCGGTTTCGTTTAAATAATAATAATAATATATTAATTTAAAAAATCCTCCATAAATGTTTCAAAAGATTTGATCTAAAAAAAAGTTCTTTCTGCATGCTTGCACCGATGTGTTCTTGTTAATTTCCCCCAAGCGATCAACTTTTTGATAAGTAATCTATCTTATCTGTATATTTCTTGAAATGAGCAAAAACTTTTTCGGACTAAAATTTAATCATTCTACATATGTTTAAAAATCTCTTAAATTTAAAAAAAAAAAAAAAAAAACTTGGACCAGAATTTAACCTTCCTGCATAACACCCCCACCCGACCGTTTTCCCCTCACTTTTATTCCCTAGAATATTCTGCTGTGGTACGATCGATATAACTGTGGTAACATGAGATATATAACTTGTATCTGATGGATCAGAACCAACGAACTAACTTTATTTTAACACGGTTAAGAATTAATTATTGTATAACTATTATTGATATAACTGACGGGTTAAACCGAAAGAAGCACTAATTAAATTACTCACAGCCTAGCCGCTAACCACAAGAAAACATGCCAACAGCCATTTTATGGGCGAAGGCAGGTGAAGATGAAAGATTAATGCCTGGGGGAATTCCAGCGGGGTAAAACCTACCCATGATGAAAGATTAATGCCTGGGGGAATTCCAGCGGGGTAAAACCTACCCATGGTGAAAACTATTACAATAATAACACGTGACCAAGAGCGATTTCAGGCATTTATGAAGCCAACTACAGGCAAACAACGTGCATCATCAATTTTTCTAACTCATATTTATTAGCCCTTCAATAAACGCCTCTTCTATACATCTTCTATCAATACAGCTTGTTTCCTACAACAAACACT